ATCAATTTTTTAGCATGTTACTAATGATTTTAGGAGGCAATAAACCACGTTCATGCAAAACAAAAAGGAATAAGTGAAGAGAGAGGAGACGAGAGAGAAGAGAAGAAGAGAGAGAGGATGATGTTAAGCTTAAGTTAAATGACTCCCCCTTCCTAACTTGTTAAATTTGGAGTATCACTTACTACAGCCCCAATGCACACTGCTTCAGCATGTGGGAAGTCAAAAGCTTTGACAGGTGTGCCATCCGAGTTATGGTTACTAAGCTATGATAATCGCCTGTTCGAGGGTGCTTTAGCAAACGGTCAGTTTCAAGCGGTGTTAACCAGTATCCCCCAGCGTGTATTCCCCAATAGAAAAACTGTGTGAGTCCCATAAGCATCCACCACTTCACATTCAAGCTTTAGACTGAATGCCACTGACTGACGGACAGGCCTGTCAGTAAAAGCATCGTCCTGAAAAAATCTGTAGCTCTGCTTCTGTGTATAACGAAACAAGTGGACATGTTCATTCGATCAGATAGAATCCTACCATAGTGTGGATGGTTTAATTGGTGACAGAGAAGTGTGTCCTTTTATCTTGATTCCCCAGCCCAATGATTTTTAGTCACTTGATCAAAGCTAATTTTGTATTATGAGTGACACTTGATGGTGGAGGTAGGGGTATTAATGGACGGCTTTTACTCGCTCACTCCTGATTGAAGTGAGATGTGTCAGATGGATGATTTTTAGCTGTTATTATATTTTCACGCTTTGTGCTATATATATATGAATGATGAAGAAATACGTGCATTATTTATAATTATAAATCTTAAAACTTTCAGGTATAAATAGATTAATTATTTCTTTCTTGTTAGCTATATAATATTGATCCTATTCATTCCTTAATTTGATAATATGGTTTTTATAGCTTTTTTCTGGGATTAGTTGACACATTTCCGTCTGTGAAAATACTGCCATTTTTATCCGCTTCATGAAATTTTAACTGTTATAAACTTGTTATATAATAATATCCATGAAGTTGTAGTCACCCACTCTCTATTCTTCTTTCTCTCTTTCCTCGGCTTCTTCTTCTTCATTTTATCTCTCTCTATCTTTCAGCAGTGCGGGTATCTCTTATGGTTTTATAAGCAATATTCTGAGTAACATTTCCTCTCAGGTGGAGTTGGCATAAATATTTCGTAATAAAGACCCCTGTGTTAACATTTCTTTTCTGTGCTTAGTTGACAAATGCAGTTCCGCTTCTGCACTGCATCTATGAGCTCGCCTTCACCAGAGTTCGTCTGGAGGCTCAGTATGAGGTGCAGTCCAGGAGCTGACTGTGTGATAAACTGCTGCCTTTGTAAATCAGGT